GCTCCAGCAACCCATTACAGAAGCTAGGTCCACTCCAGTGTGGCTTCTCCTCCCCAAGGCTCAGCCTGTCTCAATCCTTCCTCCTCCAGCTGCCCATTAGCAGCCCTTTAAAGGCCCAGGTGTAGCCCAACCCTCTTTAATTAGCTGGATTGGATTCACCTGCTGTGGTCCAGGGGGCACTGGGCTCAATCTATGACAAATGGTGATGGGTGGCCAGGAAGGTTTTGACAAAGAGCAGACAAAGTTTCACAAACATTTACATTATTTCCCCCTCTCATCATGTTTTTCAACCAACTCCACCTAAACCACAAGAAAGAGGCTAAGTGCTTTTGGCAAAGAAGCACTGCCCAGTAGGGGTGGCGTTGCTGTCCATCACTAGCTGATTGAGACAAATGCACAGTGATCGATATACACACCCACTTCCACTCACCTTAATGTTTCAGTTTTCAGGCGTTAGTCGCCTTTGCTATGCTTTTCAGTAAAACCATCTGTGACAAAAAGTTAGGTTTTTGAATGAAAAGAATAGAAACTTGTTTTGATTCAATTCAAATCATATTTAAACGAAAAAACCATTTTTTTCTTCCGATCAATTGAAAGAGGATGTTTCAGTTTTGAATTGCTTCATGGAAAAAAAAAAAGTTTGGGCAATGCAGAAACATTTAATACAACTGATAAAACCCTCAACCACTAAAAATGTTCATCATTTTTTAAAAAAAAAGCTCCATTCTGAGCCTTGGCTGACTTCTTTAGCTGCCTCTGAGCCAACAGTCTAATCAGGGGTTTTGAGAAACTGGTTACTCAGTTGTGTCAACTGATGTCTCCCCCCATACAAAATATCTGAAGCATGCAAGCTTAAACATTGCATTCCAGGAGCATTAATCTGCGTAGCTCTCAATCTCTTGATAGGTCATCGAGAGTGAACACAAAAGGGAAGCAATTACAACTAACTCAAATTTATTTTCAAATCTGGGTGAAGACTTGTGGGTATTTTTCTTTTTACAGAACTTTCCCTACCCTTCTTTTATTCGCCTCTTAAAATCCACAGTGGTATTATGATCATTTATGGGAAATTACTGCATGCAGAACAATAAGTTAACTACCTGGTTATGACAGACCTGCAGCGCTACATTTACATATTAGAAAAGCAGGTGGTAACTGAATGGAAATATGAAAGCCTCCGCGCACAAGTTCAACAAAGCTATTCATATTACAGCACTAATCGGCCTTGTCAGAATGTTCATTGACTGCAATTTTCATCTCTTAGAGCCTGATCCGAAGCCCATTGGAGTCAAATGAAACACTCCCGTTATTGTCATTGGGTTTTGGATCAAGCCATGCATAATTAGAATTTAGTCTCCCAAGGGCTGTAATTCCTTGGTGTAATTTCAGCTCTTGGATTTAGTGTGCAAGCTCTGAGTGGTGTTGCTGGCCTGTGATGTACAAATCAGACTAGATGCTGTGGTGGTCTCTTCTGGCCTAAAATTCTACAACTATGATCTAATTGCACAATTTTAGATGTAATATAGATAATAGAGTGGCAATCGTCTTACTGTCTGAATGCAAATGAGTAGGGAGGCATGTGATTTTGCACCTGATTTCATGACAGCACCCAGGGCCGGCTCTAGGCACCAGCAAAGCAAGCAGTTGCTTAGGGCGGCAGATTTGCAAGGGGCGCAAGAATCCAGCAGGGGAGCTGAGAACCAACAGGGGTTCCTGGGAGCTGTAGTTCCTTGGTTAGCTCCCTGCCTATAGAGCCAGCCCTGGAGCAGGGAAAGAACTACATTTCCCAGCATTCCCTTGGCCACTAGCAACAGGAAAGGGTGGGGGAAGGAATATGGAACTGAAATCTGCAGCTTGCTGTGAATGATAGGAACAGAGCCAGCTCTAGGTTTTTTGCTGCCCCTCCCGCACCCCTGTATTGCCCCAGCCCTGGATTCTCCCCTGCCCACACCCCCTGCTGCCCCAGCTCTGGCCCCCACCTGCACCCTCCTGCTGCCTCAGCCCTGGGCTCTCCCCCCACCCGCATCTCCTGCCACCCCAGCCCTGGGCTCTCCCCCGCCCACACCCCCTGCCGCCTCAGCTCTGGCCCCCACCTGCATTCCCCTGCTGCCCCAGTCCTGGGCTCTCCCCCTGCCCGCACCCCGTACCG